CGGGTCTCCTATCGCAACGGAGTCTCTTGCGGGGCATTGACTCATCACAAGCCGAGGCAATCAGCCCCATCATCGATGTAACTATAGCCTCTGCATGAGCCATGCCAGGTGTGGCAGGCACCGCTGGCACTCGCCGCAGGATGGCCTCGGTGAATTTAGCCACGTCCAGTTTTTTGGTGTTCCACCGAACGGGCACTTCCCGAGATGCAGCAACTTGTCTCGGGATGCGATCTAAGACATTGAAAATAATGTATTGATGGTCGCTGGCCGTATAATCTTCCAAGACTCTCCAGGCTGTGATCCTTGGCAGAAGTGACTCAGATGCAAGGGTTATGTCTGGGATCGTTCCCCTCATCCCGGGTCGCCGGAACGTTGGCGTGTTGCCCTCGTTGATTACAACGAGTCCGGCCCTGGCAGCAAAGTCCAGGATGTACTTCCCCCGGGAATTAGTGAGGGTCAGTCCCCACTCGACGGCCCTAGCATTGAAATCACCAGCCACGACTACATGCCCTGTGGTGTCCTGCACGCTCTCTTCCAAGCGGTCTATCTTCTCGCGGAAGTCATGGATAGCCTTGTTAGGGGTGAGGTAGACACTGTAATAGGTGACGTCCTTGCACCGAACCCAAACAAATCCACGGCCCTTTCCATGACCCCGCACTTGCACTTGAGCTGTATTACGCACCCAGAAAGCAGCAGTACCAAGACTATCAGGGAACCAAAAGGGTGGGACCCTATTCCGGTACTGGTACTGCTCGCTGACCAAGAGCGCGTCGACACCGTGTTCGAGGGCAAGCTGACTGAGAAGCGCGTCAGCTGTCTTGGATCGCCCAAGATTACATTGGAGTATTCTTATTTTCGTGGGTGGGCTTTTGCTTGCTGGAGCGCAGTTTTAAAAGCGCTGCACTGCCCAGACCCAGCTATATGTTTGGTGTTTTTGTCCGCGAGCCCATTTTCCTTACAAAGAAAGCAAGATTCAACTTGGCAGTCCCTACGAGCGTGACCCACCCCTCCGCACCGGAGGCAGTGCTTGCCTCGGTCGGGCCCCTTGCAATTTCGGGAGGAATGACCGAAACCGAGGCACCTAAAACACCTGGTTACTTCCACCCTCCGTCTGAGCCTGCAGTTGACCCAACCGACCCTCAAATGCTGGAGTGCCAACACCTTACTAGCGTGTGCGTCTGCCATTTCGGCGACCGCCATCCGCTGCTGGTTTCTATTTGGTTTTGTGAGCCACACCCTAAGAACAGCCGATGTTCCGGCAAGCTCGGGGACTGCTTCCTTTAGGGCCACAACCACCTCGCTCTCTGTCGACACACCATCTATGTCCCGAACCTCAACTGACGTTTTAGGCTCGAGTGCACGGACGGTGCCCTGGCCTTCCACGGCTGCCTTTAGCTCAGCAGCAAAAGCGGATTTGTCCTTTGACTTACCCAGTTCAAGGAGGACGTCCCCGCCCCGGGTTTGCCTAATCGACCGCACAACCTTATCGGTCTGCTCCGGCTTAGCTTTAGCCTTTATTATACCCAAAACTTCAGCGAATGATCTCCCCCCTGAGGGCTTAACCAAGATTGCCTCCGTCCTGGGCTTTTTTGGCCACGACCTTTTAAGAGCGGGGGCCAAACCGGGCCCAATTTGGGCAACGTTTGTCTTTTGTGCCCTTACCGCCACATTTTTCTTGGAGGTGACCTCCGCCCGCCTCTGCTGCCTCTTCTCCTTTCGGGTAAGACGCTTTTCCCATGCAGCCCCAGATGGTGTCTCAACGACTGATCCCTTACGGGAGCTTCCCCTAAGAGGGGTCACGGGTTGCTGAGGTTGTAGACGCTTTGTTGGGAAAGCAGCTACATCTGGGGAAGACCTGGGCTTGGCAGACAAAAGGTCTGTCTGGGTCGCCTTAGCCTTAACCTTAGCCCTTGTGGTCTGAACAGCCTCTTCCTTTTTTGGAGGGCTTTCCGTAGTGGATGGCCTTCTGCGTTTCTTGGAAGGCAGCGCCCTGTCGTCGGGCATAGACACTACCTTCTCCGCAATCTTCTCCATGGCCGCCTTGCTTACCAACCGGCAGGCAAAAACGAATCCAATGTCATCTTCTAGATTGGCCATGCCATTTTTGACCACTTGGTTAACAGCTTTCTGGGTCCGAAAGGTGTCCAGCATAGCTTTAATGGTCTCCTCCATGTCTCGAAGCCGGGTTTCGATGCTACTCTCTGCGTCAAGGTATTTCTGACGCAGAAGCACCATCCCTGAGCTCTCCGACTGCAACGTTGTTGTAAGGTGTTCCTCCAACAGCCCTTCACCAGACTTGAAAGCTGGCACCGGTGGAGGGGAGACAGTCGCTCCCTTTACCAGCGAAGGTGCCAACGATATATTTTCTACCGTCAGAGGGGGTGACCTTGAAACACACCCTCCCCTCTTAAACGCATTCTCCTCTGACTGCTTGCCAAGCAAGCCCTCCATGCTACCTGGGGTTGAAAAAGCCATAAAAATGTTTGCCAGCGCATCGTGCGGCAAGGGACGGCCCGGAATAACCAGGAACGGGTATACCCTCGGGGACGTAGCCCCTACCCCAGTTCCCTGGGGCCCGGTCTCCGTTTGCCTAGTACCGAGAATCCTGACGTACCGGGGGTCGCCCGTGGCAGTGCAGAGCCCGACCTCTGCACCCATGCCGCACTCCCTGACTAGGGCCCGAAGGGGCTGGTTCCTGACGACACACCAGAGAGGTCCCATCGGCAGTGCGAGGCACAAAACAGCCCTTTTGCACAGAAAGGGCACTCCCAAGGCTCAATAGTGCACGCCGGTCGAAAAAGAAGAAAGGAAAACACCCAAACCGGGGTTGAAAAAAAGAAGTGTAAAAAGGAAAGATGAAAGATTTCGAGGTACAAGCCAAAGGTAAGAAGCAAACTTGGCCTCAGAGAAAGTTGGGAGCATAAAGAGAAGGATCTCCCACCCCCTGTTAGTCGCCTTTTACGACAAGCCGAGGGAGGCTGCGGTCCTATTCTAACCCGGTACCGCACGGGGGAGGTCTACATACATACTGTACGTAAGATTTAAAGTTAATGCCAGAACCATTTATTATACAACTTTAAACTGTAATCTTAACTAAGGCTATGGAATAAAGCTTAGAATATCAGTTTACGGTCACACCAAATTCAATCTAGTTTAGTAGTTCATATGGACTGGAGTGGATCTAGTGCAACACATTCTGAAGTAGGCAAAATGTCCTTTATTCACTCTAATGCAACTGCTTCCTCAAAATAAATGCTACTAAAGGGGAATATAATTGCAGGATTAAGTAAGCTACGAGGGAAAATACATAAATTTGTCAATTTCTGGCAGTTAAGTAATTATTTGGTAAGAGTGTAGGCCAGATCCAACATTATTACATGTTAAGCCTACCTGATAGTTGACAATCTTTTATATCTGAGAGGGCGGACGCTCCCTGGCTGGCTCCGCCACTGCAGACCACTGATAACTGAAAACCACGGTTAATCCAACATGACATAAAACAGTTATTTCTAATTCATAAACAACACCTAATCTTACTAATATTATAAATCTGAAAGTTTGTGAGTTTGTGTGTGTGTTTGTGTGTTGCTCTGGCCTCCGCCCCAGTGGCTCTGTAGTTCCCCATGTTAACCTTGTGAGTATTCATATTTAAAGGGAATTAACGCATTTAGTCAGCTGTTTCAACTTTACAAGTTGGTTCTATAATATGCAATAGCATTAAAAAGTTATAAGGTTTCTCAACAGGGTGCAGCACTATTATTATTCTGTTTTTGCATATATAACAACAGCTAATTTGAACTAAGCAGCAACAAAAAGCTGTGATACACAATGAGAACTGTCAAAGTAGGATTGTTTACAGTTAGGTTTGAGTTTGAGAATGACGGGTGCTCTGCTAGTACTGTATAAATGGACTTAAATGTGATAAATTGCATATTACATAATCAAATACGATTAGTAGGCTATTGCGCAATCATCGTAATTATTTTAAGTCATTGACCTTGGTTCAGTAATAAAGACTGTATTGTTTAAATCACAGCTTTCTCAAAATTTTACTCAAACAAAAAAAATTTTCAAACATTGTACAACAAAATAAAAAAAATAACAACAGTCGTAAAATACACTTACAAAGATAAAAATTAGATAAAAAGATTGGTTATTCCTTCTCTTTATTCTTCTATTCTTTCTTGAGTTCAACAAGTTGTCATGGTTACCAAATACCCTATCACAAAATGTGACATAGCAAGCGCAGCAGAAAGATGTGTAGGCGTTAAGGAGCAGACGATTGTCAGTGCAAAGGAATAGCTTGACCTTGAAGCTTTCTTCAACATTTCTTTATTTTGATTCTGTTTAGTTTTTGTCAAATGAGCTGTGATTTTTCAATAACAATAATGTGGGAACCGTCTGCATTATAACGGGCAGATTGTGTCAGCAGCACGGTCGGATCAAGCGAGGAGTCGGACCATCCGAGGTCGGATTAGTGAGGTTCCACTGTACTGCAAATCAGAATCGCTGAAGACAATGATTTTCTTCCTTAACCGCATGAGATGATGAAGTTTACAAGCCCCCAAAATTGTAGATTTTGCTGCAATCGCTGAAGACAATATAATGATGTTTCTGTGACTGAAGTAGACAATGATAATGTCTACACAACTGCAGGAGATCTTATCACTATAGTTTTAGGTTTTTAATTCTTTCATTCTGTAAGCAATTTTAGGATAGTTGGAAACCAGCTGGTTGGATTTTTACTGGGTAGGCCTACATTCACAAAGATTTGCATAAATTAATAGTAATTTTGTCCCTTTGGGACATTAAAATGAAAAATGGAATTAGTCCCAGATCTAGGTTTTACAATGCCACCTACAGTAATAACAGATACCAAATTTATGATGTGCTTATTCACGACAAGATAAATAAAAAAAATATAGCTTGCAGAGTTTGCTCTTTGATGAACAATCCACTAATTTCTAAACAGTGACATTACTTGTAACATTTCATTCTAGATCCTGCGATATGAAACGGACAAAGTGCTGGCTAGTCCACAGTTCTTGGAGGTCTGTGCAGAAGGATTCATCACAGTGTTGGAGCAGGATGGACTTGCAGTCGCAGAGATTGAGTTGTGGAGAGCTGCTGTAAAGTGGGCCAAACACAAAGGTGAGCGTACAAAATTTATTTTCCCTTGTCCTTCGCCTTATAGTTTTTTCTTGCCACTTTTATATATTTCCACAATACTTTGGTTCAGATTTATACCTCAAAATCAAGAATATACAACACTATCAGATTGGATCACAAGCTCTTGATTTAGCCACGAGATATTGTTAATGTACTGGTATCCCCATTGTCTAAGATCAAAGTTTCAGGTTAATTGAAAAGTTGGCGTGTAACCTAGATGGTTTGTAGTTGTAATACTAATTGGGGATCATAATATTCAGGGTTAACATTAGTGTAAAAATGGGGAATTTCCTTCTCTTCCAGTGCTTGATTTGGTGTAATATGGATACAAACTTTCTTTGCAAGTGAAATATAGTTGGCCTAATGCCAATCAAGAAAGCTTAGAGAGCTAGCTTTAATAATAAGGTTATTTTCTAGTTGTTGGGAAACGAACTGGTACCAAGAACCGACGTTGAAATGACAGCTGAAGTAGGCCTACTTTGATACTAACAGAACATGGGTGTGATGGCTATAGGCCGCAGCATTAGGCAAATGTATGCGCTTTTTATTTCTTTGTAGTGGATGAAGGAGGGGTCAAGAAATTTTTATTGTTTACTAGCAGTTTTACCCGTGCTTTGCAACGGGAAGAGGACACAAAATAAATCTGTTGTGTAAAATAGTTTAACCCATCTATAGTTACCCATCTGCCAACGCTTTTAGAGGCAAAATTCAACCTTTATGGCCTTTATAGAAACTTTTGTGGCTTTTAAATCTGGTAAGTTAGTGGAAACCGTCATTTTGTTTTTGATTAATTAATTAGCCACCATACCCGTGCTTCGCAACGGGAAGAGGACACTAAAGAGAATAATTACTATTCCATAGATCTGCTGTATGTAGATAAACGTTTAGTAATCCACTAAAAGTATTAACTTAAAATGGGGAAATAAACCATACAAACACAATCGATTTTTATAAAAAATTTTAAAAAAAGAAAGTCAATAAGTTGGGAGTGTTGCTGGAAGTCAAATGTTCGCTAGGTCAAATAATTTATACTTACTAGAGAACCCGTGCGGCTCAATGAGCCGCATACTGTAGTATGAAATAATAACGCCAAGGAAAACCTTATGCTTAAATTCAAGTAACTTTAGTTACATCTTAGAGTTGCTTGAAAACTTGTTAGAAAATAATTTGAAATATCTCTATTGGCGTCGTCAAGGTTCACCTACATTATTTCTGCTCTAAGTTTTAACTGATAACTTCTAATGAATGCTAAACGATCTGCCTCAATTCGAGTTAACATATTGCAACAAAGTTTTTCCAGCATTGAGAATTGAAGAACACTCTTACCTTACTGATAACCTGTCTTAGTTGGGTCATTTTATTTCTTTGATTTGAGACATCCACCTGATCAAACGAATTTTCTCCCTAGAGTAACCTGAAAAGTGGGGTGATATCAACCGTTTCATGTGCTCCATTTTTTACCCACAAACTCTGGGTTACCAACTGGACAGCCATAATCTGCTTTGAATAGGCTAAAGCAGCAACGTCATTGAAAGTTGGTTAACGTTATTTAACGTGTTGTCTGTCAGTCACGGTATATGCCCCGCATCAGAACGTTCTCACGTTGTTCAGTGCAGTTTCTCTTAATACCTGTCCCAAAGTTTTGAAAGTATGGATACATTTGTCGACATAGGTTGGATAACTCTTGTAGCTATAATATTTGGATAGCAATTTTAATTTTCTCTTTTTGAAAAGCGTATATTATTTGTCTCTCCTGAACCTGAATCATAAAAATAAACTTGACCTTAACTACTCGATCGTTCAATACAAAAACACTAATTCTTTCACTTATGTATGGTCTAATATTGCCACTAAAACTTACAATAGCAAATGAGATTTGAAAATTCTTATTTTTGACTTGAAATGTCTGGATTGTGTCGGTAAATTCAGTCAAAAAACGTATAAGTTTGTCCGAGGAACTGGCAACATAATGTTATGTTGCAGTGGCATAGAGCAAGGGTTGAAAAGACAATTTTTCCCTTGTATAGAAGGGAACTATATACTTTACTACGAAACTATATTTTTCGTCATTAGCTAATGTTGTTTACTATGTAGTAGTAAACAATCCATTTACGTTTTTTCTCAATTGAAGTAGAGCGAGTAATACAAAAGTTTACGATAAAAACCTAAGGTCCGCCAAGATTTGGGATAAACCATAGACTAAGCAACACAAGTAGACTTCTCATCCCATTGTAAATTTTGAAGCTTGTTTTTTGTATCTAGTTCATGTACGTCCACACTGATCGCTAGTGTAGACAACATTTTGTTTCTATTATTTTAGGGTTATTTTCATGATTTCTGCTATACTATTTGGTTATATAACTAGGAGACCAGTTATTGTTTATGATTATATCGTTTTATTAGGTTAAACGAGGTTTTAAATGACTGCAATAACAAGAAACAAATTGTAAACAAAACATAACCTCTATAGTTGGACGTACAGAACTAACAATAAAATTGGCTTCAGCTGTTCCATTAGGATGACTAATCTACTAAGGGAGTATGTTTTATCTATGGATAAACTTACTACTTGAACTTATCATAGTCAAGGCATTATTATAGTTGCTACTGAATAATCTGAAATATCACGATCTGTCAGCGTCTGAAGTAAACATTTCTTGCATGCATTCATTTGATCTGACATTAGGCAAGTTTACTTTCCCACCGTGACAACACTATGAGCTTCGTATATTATTTTCATTTCCAAAGTAAGTTGCATAGCAGAACTGGCAATTTTTATTCATCTTACCAAGTGAATGTGTATCTGGATGGGTATCTGTTAGACCAGGCCTCTCTTTTTCTACTCTCCTCAGTCATCATACGCACAAGATATCTTATTATTAATTGTGTCCTCCTCCCGTGTTCAATATTTCTTTTTTGAACTTGAGGTATTTTCTGTTCTTCCGAAAAAAACTGATTTAACCGTTTAACTTGGTCTTAACCTAATGAATATTACAAACATCAATATTTACTCACAAAAAGCTAATGAGTTTCTTTTAATAAACAGCTGTTTTGGTTTTGAAATTTGTTCTATGTATTTCTTATGGGGAAAATCCGACCTTTGAAAGGGTCTCACGCCCTTAAGAGCAGGAATTTTAAAATTCTAAAACCTTATTGCAAAACTACATATTGAGACGAATCTTTTGACACCTCAAACGTTGATATTGGTCCACAAATAAGGGAGGAGTTGCGTTAACAAAAATCGGCTTCACGTATTATATAAATAGATTTTCTGTTCTTCCAAAAAAAACTGATTTAACCGTTTAACTTGGTCTTAACCTAATGAATATTACAAACATCAATATTTACTCACAAAAAGCTAATGAGTTTCTTTTAATAAACAGCTGTTTTGATTTTGAAATTTGTTCTATGTATTTCTTATGGGGAAAACCCGACCTTTGAAAGGGTCTCACACCCTTAAGAGCAGGAATTTTAAAATTCTAAAACCTTATTGCAAAACTACATATTGAGACGAATCTTTTGACACCTCAAACGTTGATATTAGTCCACAAATAAGGGAGGAGTTGCGTTAACAAAAATCGGCTTCACGTATTATATATATAGATGCCAATTTTAGACCCTGGTAGAATTGCAAGTTTGTTTAATGGTTATTTTAGCAACATGGTTACAGATTTAGATTTAAATTTTAATTCTAACAATCAGAATGTGACGGCTGATGTGAAAACTGATTTAAATAAAGTTGATACTTTTAAAAGAGTTTTGAAATATGACATGAAATAGTTCATCGTCGGCTATTACTTTTTTAATTTTATGGTCAGGTAAGTTAAAAAAACTGTGGATTTTGTAGCTAAAATTTCTGGATCATATTTTTTTTTAAAGTTTTTAGCTGCTGTAGTTCGGTTGTAGTTTTCGTTGTACCATAGTCGATACCTGCCGCGGCACGTCACGTCACTTCGGGCAGGCCTACTAGAATCACAATTTTGTATACTACTGTGGTTATAACATTTAGCATTGTGTGTACAATGGTTTTAAACATAATAGGTGTTAGTGGAAATTATATCATAACTGTTTGCATAACTATTAGTTGAATATTTTTTAGCTCTTTTATCAAAATTAATATGACAGTCAGAATATAAAAGAGCGTTGTTTTAAGAGTTTCAAAAAATATCATGTGACTTTGAAAATTCGTACATCGTAAACCAAACGTCAGAACTTTATCAAACTTTAATACAATATAGATACATAGCCTATATTACAAATTAATTTGTAGGTTTTCAGAATTTTTGTTACGCCCAAAAAGTTTTTGTTGATAAACTAACTTTTTCTAAGAAACGGTAAACGCTAGAAAAATTAAAAGCATATATTAAAGGTTATTGTGTTTTGTGTTGGTAATAGAAATATTTATAATACAAAGGCGTATTTTCACAGATATTATTGATATCAACTAACATTTAATTAGTTGCGCTCCGTAATAGGGCTCATCACAGCCGGCAGTCGCCATCTTGTTGTAGATTATTGAAAAATCCTGGCTTTATGTCGCGGCCAACATGCTCCATCTATTGGTCATATGTGATCGTTGGATAACACGGAGGTCGGGTATATTTTGAGATTAGGGGTTACAGTGCAATATTGGGAAGTCAAATACTTGTAAAATATGTTTTAAACGAATGAAAAATGATCAAATGAAGTTGTCATGCACATTTAAAAAAAATCATATAATGTTAATACAGAAAATAATAATACAAACATGCTCAATACTTCTTCAATTGTCTTGAAGAACTCACATTAATAGAATTATGCACAGTAGTAAACCAATACACAGTATTTGAAAGAAAACAATATTGTGGATCTTTCTAGTTTGAAAAGCATAAAATTACATTATGATTGAGTTTGGCCATGGCTATAATTTGAAACAATCATGTCCACATTAAAACATCCTAATAACAAAGACTTGGCGTGAAGTCTCAGGTAGCAAGTGTGAC